TTCTTCTCACTCCTCTTTTACACAGCAAGTAGAATCCACAAAAAAGTATCTTAAAATGAATTATCGAAGGAATTCTCTAAGTCTCATTTTGTAGAATATAAGAATAAATGGGAGAGGCATTCCTCCTAGGAGGGAATAACATGGGCAAAGGTGTTGAAGAGAGAAGTGGTATGTGTTTGGGAAACTAACTGCAACAGCAGCATATTGTGATTAAAGCACATACTCTAGAGGGAGATCTAACTTTGGGCCTTGGTTCTGCCACACACTAGCTTTCTGACTTTGGGCAAGTTATTTAAGTTCTTTAAGCTTCCATTTCCTTAGTAACTGCCATCTACTACTGTTATTCTGATTTGTGTCCTTGTCACTTTTAGATGACAAAGAAAGAAAGAACCAGCTGTTGGGGGATAATGGACTTTCCATCCTAGAACCAGGGCCCAGTTTGTCCATAACCCCATGGAGAAGGCCCCAACACTGGTGAACACTGCTGTGACTTACTTGGAGACCCAATTGGTTACATTTTGGTCAGGGTTGAGTTGGTTCCTCCAACCCTTGCTGAGATCCCTACAGCTATTCAGAGCTTAAAAAAAATAGTCAAATAGGGCTCAAACTGGTAGCTTCAAACAGCTCACAGTTAAGGGAGCTGTGCTGAATGGTGTTTGGTGGCCACTGAGGTATGGATGTGGTTTTATATTCAAGAGAGCATAGATAAGTGTGGCATCATTGGCTACTGTTCAAAAATCAATCTTTAACATCTGATTATATTTGATTTATTATCTGAGTGTTCCTGGACCATGTGTGATCAGACTGCTGTCTGAATAAAATGTGTTAAAAAAAAAAAGTAAGAGTAGAGAGTGGTGAAAGATGAAGCTGGCAAGAAAGGCAATGACCAGATCATGAAGACCTTGTATTTCAGTTGGGGATAAAAGGATATATTTTTTAAAATGACCAGTGGGCAAAAGGTCAGGCAGGGGGTATGTGAAACAGGGAGACCAAAGCTTGGGTTGTGGAAGTAAAGGTAGGTAGAGGGATCACATATGATAGAGATTAAAGATGATTTTATTATCTGTTGGGATGGGAGAGAAGTTATTGAGTGGATGGTTTTGCCATTAACCAAAATAGGGAATTTAAGAGGAAAAGGTTTAGCTAGGGTCGATGTAGGGGTTTGTTCAGTTTGGGACATATTATTTGGTGTGGCTCTGTACTTCACAGAGGAGATGGCTAGTAAGTGTTAGATATGTAATAATAACTAAAATTTTATAATGTTGTGCCATGCATTGTTCTTAGTGCTTTACAACAGTTAACTTATTAACCCTCATAGCAACCCTCTCAGGTAGGTAATACTATTCTCCTTATTGTAAAGATTAGGAAACAGTGGCATAGATATCTTAACTACCCAAAGTCACACAACTATGAAGTGGTGTAACTAGGATATAGGTCTGGGGCTTGGGACATAGGTCTAGGAAAAGTGCTGACTATGTGCTAGGCATTGGGGTAGAATTCAGAACCAGACAGACCCAGGCTTTGTTTTCATGGAGTATAGCCTAGTGAGTCATATACATTTGGTGGTAGTAAAAGATAATCATGCAAGTAAAGAATGAGAAGATAAGAAAACCAAGGAAAAAAATCCTGAGAAACAGTAACATTTAAGAGGTAAAGAGAAGAAAAGGCCCCAGGAAAGAGATGAAGGCATAGTTAAAAGTAAGAGGCCAGATGTGGTGTGGTGGCTGACACCTGTAATCTTAGCACTCTAGGAGGCCAAGGTGGGAGCTTGAGCTCAGGAGTTCAACAGCAGCCTGAGCAAGAGTGAGACCCCATCTCTACCGAAAAAAAGAATTAACTGGCTGTCTGGCAAGCGCCTGCAGTCCCTGCTCCTCGGAAGGCTGAGGAGGAGGACTGCTTGAGCTCAGGAGTCTGAGGTTGCAGTGAGCTATGGTGATGCCACTGCACTCCACCTGGGGTGACAGAGCAAAACTCTCTCTCAAAAAAAGAAAAAAAAGGAAGAAAATTGAGAGTGAGCGAGGTCTCAGAAAATATTGGAAGTTTTTCAGGAGACAGTGTTAATTGTTGGACAGGTCCAGTAAGATAGGGAGTGAAAGTATCCAGTGACATTGATAACTAACAGATCTTTGATGGCCCTAGCAGGGGTAGCTTCTTTGGAAGCTAGGCGGAAGCAAACTGCAGTGGATTAAGGTGAGGTTTGAAAGCAGGACCAGAAGAGAGACTGGAGTAAGGGAGATGAATTAGTTCTGTAGCAATCTAAGCAAGAGAAAATAATTGTGTGAATCAGAGTAACAGCAGTGGGAAGGGAAGGCTTAAAGGCCAAGAAAGACATTTTTAGGGAAGACTCAGTATGATTTGGTGATGAGGGAAGAAGAATCCAAGATAATTCCAAGTTCCTGGGAGAGTGGTGGTGCCATTATCAGAGATAAGAAGTTAAATTGTTAAATATATTGAGTTTGGCATGACAGTGGGACATCTAGCAGGCAGTTTAGTAGGAGTTGAAAATTAAAAATGTAATTGTTGAAATGTTTACCAGGATTGGCCTTAAGTCTGTGCAACAAACATTTTCCTCTAGTATTGCTGATCTAATATACCATATAGCATATGGCCATTTGTTTTCTAGCTGAATTTCTCTATTAAAACTTGAAGATATCTTTTATTATGCTGGTAACATCAAAACTGTGTATTGCTGCTGAGGACATAATGCTATTAAAACAATTAGTGCTTTCCAATGGATGTTTGAGTGTTCATGGAAGGACCATGATATTTATATATTTTTACTTAACACTTATATAGCAAATACTATCTGCCAATGTTATAATCACTTTACAAATGTTAACCCATTTAAATTTATTCATCAAAACAATGTCATGAGGCAAATATTTTTTCGTTCACATTTTACAAAAGAAATATTGAGGTTAGAAAGGTGAAAAAACTTGGTCAATGTCACACAGCTTATAATTGGTAGACTTGGGAGTCGAATTCAAGCATTTTGTAATGGTATAGGTGCAGACCTTATATTTCTGCATTTCATCAGCTTTCCAGACATTTGCAAAATATTAATAATGAATAAGTTAAGACTTCAAACAAAATAACATTCATTATGATGCTGGTATGTAATGCCATTCATGCTTTACAAATAAAAGAAATACAATTTTAAATGTAATTTTTAGTGATCACCTTTGTAGTAAAATATAGTTTTGGATTTTTTTCCAGTTGAATTTTAAGGGAAAGTGCCAATTGTCTCTAATTACTGGAATTCATTATGAAAAATAGGATGGGTGGTATGGCTCATGCCTATAATCCCAGCACTATTGGGATGTCTATTCAGGAGGATTGCTTGAGGCCAGGAGTTCAAGACTAGCCTGGGCAACATAGCGAGACCCCCATCTCAAAAAAAGAAAAATTAGCTGGGCATGGTGGTGCCTGTAGTTCCAGCTATTCTGGAGACTGAGGCAGTAGGATCACTTGAGTCCAGTAGTTCAAGAAGCTGCATTGAGTTATGATCAGCCACTGTATTCCAGCTTGGGCAATGGCAAGCCTCAGTCTCTGGAAAAAAAAAAATAATGTGCAACACAAAACATGCTACAAGACGGTCTACTATACAGAAAATAAAAACATCATTTGTTGACAGCACCGCCACAAGAGAATAGTAAAAAGCACAGGTGATATGCAATGTCTGTAGGTAACCATATTCTAAGATTGGATCTTTTAAGAAAGGACAAAAAAAAAAAAAAACCCATTCATCAGATTCTGCCATGCTCTGATGATTCCATACATCTCATTATAAATGGACACAATTAATTATGGTTTTGAAACCTGACTGCATTTTTGAGCTTACTAATGTTGGAATAAAACGATAATCATTCATTTCTCAAACTGAGAATTAAAGAAGCACACTGTCAACTAATAATGATGGTAATAAATTGTAAAAAATATACAAGGTAAAAGTATAAGAATTCTAATTTATTATTAGTATCAACATTAATATTTATGTTCCCTAATTAAGCTTATTCAAGCAGGATGCCAAATAGATGAATACCTAATTAAATGCCATCAAAAAGTCTTAGTTCATGAAATATAAGTTTAAAAAATCAAAATGAGTTACTGAGATACTAAATATGACCTTTAAAGAAGTTGGGGAGAAGATGTGAGAGGGTTCGCTTCAGAGATGGGACAGAGAGAGAGAGAGAGAGAGAGAGAGAGAGAGAGAGAGAGAGGTAAAGAGGCCATTTTCTGCGCTGGAGATTTAGGACCGTCTGGTCAGGCTCATGCTTTTCCAAAGGCTAAGGCCTCGTCTGTGATATAAATTTGTGAAGAGCTCAGAAAACTACACCTTATGCATGGTGTCTTTTCTTCTTGCTGCTTGAAGGTCTTTTTTTTTTTTTTTGAGACAGAGTCTTGCTCTGTTGCCCGGGCTAGAGTGCCGTGGCGTCAGCCCACCTCACAGCAACCTCCAACTCCCGGGCTCAAGCGATCCTCCTGTCTCAGCCTCCCGAGCACTGGGACTACAAGTATGTGCCACCATGCCCGGCTAATTTTTATATATATACATTTTTAGTTGTCCAGATCATTTCTCTCTATTTTTGAGTAGAGACGGGGGTCTTGCTCTTGTTCAGGCTGGTCTCGAACTCCTGACCTTGAGCGATCCTCCCGCCTCAGCCTCCCAGAGTGCTAGGATTACAGGCGTGAGCCACCGCGCCCGGCCTGCTTGAAGGTCTTTACGTTAATGTTCCCATCACTGGTGGCGTCGCCGCCCTAATTGCTGCTGTTGGGACTTTGTTTTTGTTTACTTGGTAGCTGCGGTGCATCACGCGAAGCAGAAAAAGAAGAAACACAAACCTCCGTTACTTGTTAAGTTGAGAAGGGGGACAGTCCTCAACAGCGCTAAGACGTAGCGGAGCACTCTCACCGTATAGGCGCGCTCCCGTCCGGGGGCGGGATCACAGGAAACCCCGCCTCCCAAGCCCAATCCCAGCTCTCCGCCGGCGGACAGGAAGCGGCGGCGGGCCTAGCAGCCCGGGAATGGGCCCCTGTGCACATGCGCGCGCCGCTGAAGCGCCTGGGGGACGAGGAGGGGAGTGAGGTAGGGGCGCGGCTCCGCGAGCCGGTTGGGCGCCCGCATATCATGTGGTGAGGAAGGAGGCGGAGGCCTGGGGTTCGGGGGAGGGGAGTAGAGAAGAGGGAAGGAACGAGGGAAAGAACGCGAGGAAGGGAGGAAGGAAGCAAACGAGGGGGCGGGAGGTCCCTGTTTTGGAGGCTCTAGGAGCGTTGCCGGCCCCTGAAGTGGAGCGAGAGGGAGGCGCTTCGTCGTTTCTTCTGCCGGGGGAGGTCCCGGCTTCCCGGGGAGGCTCTGGACCAAGCCCCTTTAGCTTCTCCCTCCAGATCGATGTGCTGCTGTTAACCCGTGAGGAGGCGGCGGCAGCGGAAGATGGTGTTGCTGAGAGTGTTAATTCTGCTCCTCTCCTGGGCGGCGGGGCTGGGAGGTGAGGCACGACCGCGAGCGCCGGGGGCGCAGCGACCACGGCTGAGCGGCGGCCGGGCCGAGCGGAGCCCAGTCGCGACGCACCGCCGGCGCGTCAGTCAGCCCGGCCGGCCAGCGGCGCCACTCGGGCGCGCCGCGCTTCCCGCTCCCGGCTCCCTATTGTCCCCAGCGCACCGACCGCGTTCCCTTACGTGGCGGGCCGAGGAGGCTCCGAGCCTCCAGCGAGGCCTTCCCCGCCCCCCACCGCCCTGGCGGCACGGGAGGCGGGAGTCGGCTCGCTGAGAAGAGAAGTCGGGAGATCGGGGTCGCTGGGCGAGAGGTGTGGAGCCCAGACCGGTGGCCGCATCCCTTCGGTCCGCTCGGCGCGCGCCGGCGCGAGCAGCCACGGCGGGGCTGGCCGTCTCGCTATCCTCGTTCGGCGCTCATCCTCCTCACCATTCCTTCCCCAGCCCCCAGCCCGTGCCCCGTGGCGGATTCCGGAGTCCGCTCCGCCGCCGAGAACCGCCGCGCAGATTCGAGGGAAGTTGTGATGTTTGCGACTGGGCTCGTATATTGTTCTTTACCGGGCTCGGCGATCTTGACCGACCCCGTTCTGCACAGGGGCCGCCCGCGGAGTGGTCACCGTCATCTCCTGCTTGTCAGGGATGAGTGTCTTCGGCTCTCCATGTGCCCTGTGTTTGGAGAGCGATCGCAGGACGGTGTGATTGTGTTCTTTGAAAACATTCTGTGGCCCGGGGAAAGGGTTTGTTGGAAAGGGTCAGCCGTTTCTGGATGTTCTTTGATCCATAGGCAGGGTTGGACTTCTCGGAGTAAAAGTTTGGTCGCAGGGTGACCCAACTTGAGGAGTTTTCGTAAACTCTCAGGTGGAGGAGACGTACAATGTACTTAGTGGATTGTCAAAACAGTGCCCCCTCCTCCGTTCATATTAAAGTTAAATTTGCTGAAAGCATATAATTTCTTGACTCGCGTTTTGAAGACGATGATTTTTATTTCCAGTGTATCTCAGGACCGTCTACATCATTTTGTTCTTGTGTAAAGTGCTTTAATTTAGATAAGCTTTTTGACCTGCCTCAAAGTATTCTTAAAAACCTCAAAATATGCTTAAAAGCATTGAATTGAAAAATTTTCAGGAATGCTTACAATGAGTCTGTAGCCTAGTTTGATAATTTAGAATATA